CATGACAAGGGTCTACTATAAATATGCGTAAGTATGCCCCTTTATATTTGTAAATTCATTATACTGTAAATGCTAATATTTTATTGTAACTACTGGTATGTTAACAGTTAGAACAGTACAGAACAGAGTTTTGTTGTGATAGTAATTTTGATTGAAGATATGCAAAATTGTAAAATCATCTAAGTCTATTATCTGTTTCTATATAGATGAAAAGATACACACCAACATGTTGTAGTTTCTTTGGCAGAACATTAATCAAGTTCATGTTTTTTTAATAGCCTTATAAGTGCTGTTTTCTTTGAAGTCTCTAAATAATTCCTATTATAAACAAGAGCATACAATATATTATTTTAGCTTTGTGGCTCATTTGTTACTTTAACTGAGACAACTATATAATAATTATATAGTTGCAGCTCAGCTGTAAAGCAAAAAGTAGTCGTCAGATATTTTCATAGGCTTGATTTCTAATGCAAACATTGAAATATTCTGAAAATATTAAATAATTTATACGTACCTAAATGGAGTAGATTTGAATCCTCATACTAAATTTGGATTTGATAAAATTAAGGAAAGAAATTCTTATTACAAGTACATAGTTAATAATAATAGATTCAATTTGGCTTATACATTTCAATTTACTGTATTTATTATTTCAGAATTGCTGCTATAATTGTGTATGACTTATCAAGGTAAATAATGACATGCATCTTATGTCTACTGTTTTTTAAAATTTAAAATGCTCAGCTTTGGCAGTGTATAGTATAACAAAGCAGAAAAGATTAAATAGCTTTCTTTACACTTGAATTATTAATATCCATTAATTGTACTTATTTTCAGGTTAAGAATATTACTCTTAACTATATATTCGACATAACTCATTCATTGATTTATGAACTTTACATACAAATTGCTGTTGTATTGTAAAACTTGATTGTGCAGTTGGCTATGGTTTTTTGGTTTATTTTTTTTTCGCTGGTATAAATGTATATTTACTATTCAACATCAGGTACTGTAAAACATGGGCATTTCATTAACGTTTGTAAAGCATTAAACTACAATAGCCACAATTGCATCCACCTTTGACCCCCTTTCAGTGCACTGTCCTTGTGACTTAGCCCCATTGTTAGATTTTTTTCTTTTATTTGCTTTAAACAGGAAGTACACTCACCACTTTAACATGGAATAAAACCTCATTATGAGGCTCCTGGTGGAGTGTATTAGCTATTGAGGAAAAAATTCTTCAGTCCAAAAAAAGAAAAGAAAAAAAGGAGTCGGCCCCCACCCCCTTTCGGACTTCCCTGGATCCGCCCCTGGTTGAAAAGCAATCATCTTAACCACCAAGTTTCAGTATATAACAGATAATAATTCTGTTGCATGTATGCCTTTCCAAAGTGATATTTTATAGACATCAAACCATATGTTATAATTTCAACTGTACATCCTAAATGGCCTAAACCGAAATTAATGAAATCATAATGAGCATGACTTTATCAATTACAGTATTGTACATAAAGCCACTATCAACCTATCATTTAATTATAACTTATGCTGGTATAATACTTGGTATGATAAATTTAAATGTTGAATAAATTACCTTAAAAAAGGTTTAATGGAGTGCTATTACCTCGAGCTTATCTCATTCATTCATGGTTTTATTGTCTAAGTATAAAATACATATGTCACAATCATTAAAGCACTGAAGTTTTGTTGTGTAGTATTGAATAGGTGTAGTAGCATTACAGACAAGAATAAGTACTAAGATGAATAGAATGTCCATATGGGCATGTAGAATAGTGAACGTTTATTTTAATCTTGAGTTGTGCTATTTTATAGATTTTAGCAAAAAAGTTTAAATGCAGATGAGAATCTGTATTAAATCTTACTTGTATAAAAGTTAGTATTTTATTCCTGATGATGCTTTAATAAAAGTGAAACATCAAATATGTTCTCCATTTCCCTTAATGTAAAAAATGGTAATGGAATATCCAGTTGTGACTTTACCTTTAAAAATGTACATAAATAAATGAAAGATGATTTTTTTTATCACAGGCCTGCTACATTTGAATCTGTGTTGAAGGTAGGATACTAATATTTATTAATTACATTTTTGTTAGTGGGGGCAGTTGGCGCAGTGGTTGCGTTTCAATCCCAACCAGAAAGTTGGGGTTCAAACCTTCGTTGTGCATTTTGCTTGTGTTCTTAGGCAAGGTGCTTTACCTATGTTTGTCTCCACTTTAACACTCTGACCGCAAGAGGTTTGAAAAAATAGTATCAGCCATCGCCAGACATTTTAGCGAATTTTAACACTTTTC